GTAAAAATCGCCGATTTAAAACCACTCTTAATAATTAAATTATTATTGGAATTTGACAAAATATAATATTGCCTAGTCGGTACGACTGGTCAGCAGCTCATTATAAATTATCACTGAAAAAATGCTGGCTGGAAAAATTAAAGTGAAGAAAATTTGATGTAGGAATTACTGGATAAATTTGTTGATTTGGTCCTATCTTTTATCACAATGTCGACTTTGTTATCAAAATATTAAACGCGTATAAAATGTTATATAAAATAGAAAATATAATAAAACAAAGCTGTTGGGAATGTTTAAAAAAGTCGAAAAATATAACTAAAAGTGCAAAAAATAGAATGAATAAAAAAGAGAATAAAAAAAACGTGTTGAAGTGAAAAATTTAAAAAAGTATAATCAAAAGCATTGAAATTATTAGAAAAAACGAGAAAAAAAAACTAAGAGTGCGGAAAATATTAGAAATATTAAAAATGTAATAATAATATAATAATATTAAATATTATATTATAAAATATTAATATAAATATTGATATTATAATGATTGATTTCTTACAATGAAGATTTTGTGATAATTGCAATTGTTTCGAACCTTGCATTTTGCATTTCATACAGCGCTTTTTCGCTATTTTGACGAGTACGCTATTTTATCGGCGTTAAGTAGAAAGCTAAAGAAGTCATTTCCTCTCTGAACTTTCGTGCTCTTCAGTTCAAATCAATGTTCGCCACAATCCATTCGTGTCCAATATTTTATCGGACGATTTCATTTCTAAATTTCATTTCTTTCGTTTCTTCTTCATTGGTTAATTTGTTCGACGGAATGTGAACTGGTAACGATTGGAAATTTTGAATAAAAGTTTGTTTTATCCTCGTAGATTAGTTTTGCGGAAGCTGTTTCATTGAAAAATTTTTTTGATGCACCAACTTATAAGAAAACAATTTCGAACCTTGCATTTTGCATTTCATACAGCGGTTTTTCGCTATTTTGTCGACCATTTCTTCGTTTCCTAGCTTAAATCACTTTACTTTGCACCCTTTTCCATCAATTGTAATTGCCTGTTCTAACCTCTATTTATTGCTTTCAGTATCACCAGCTGGCAGTTAATTACTTTACTTTTAAATAACTCGCGTTTCGGCCCTCACGGCCCTCACACCCTTAGCCCTTAAAATAACACGGCCCTCGGTTAACTTGAAAAGGGTACCATTTTTGTATGGTTAGTAGATTTAATAAAATAAGTAAAAACAAAAGAGAAAAACAAATAATTGAAAGTTTTTTATCAAATCAGAAATATGTAAACGAATAAAACATGCAATTTGGCCTAAAATTATAATCGAAAATTTCGTCATTTTTTAGGGTCATAATTTAGAGCACAACCACTAAAATTTTTAAGAAAGAAGAAGGGTGCTTAAATTTAAAAAGAAATAAAATTTTTATAATTATTTTTATTATAATTATTTTTATTATAATTATATAATTATAATTATTTTTATTATATTGTATTTTTATAATTATTTTTATTATTTAACGTAGATTTGTTTGAGGAAAATATGGCGAAATTAGGTAATTTTTATTTAATTTTTATCTATTGATTACGATTAATTAATTTTTACGCAAAGGGAAGGGAAAGGGAAAGAGGAAATAAGGTTTTTCTGGAATTTCAATAATGCAACAAATTCGCTCTTTAATTCGATTCGATAAATTTTTATGAATTTTTTTATTTTTAATTTTTTTATTTTTTTAATTTTTCAATTGCTATTACAATCGGAATTATTAAAAATTGGATTTATTAGAATTTTTTCTAAAATTTTTTTCTATCTTCCGAAAATTTTTTAAGAATTTTTTAGTGGTAATTTTCATTCGTCTTTCAATTTTTGCACGAAAATTCGAAAAATTAAATTTTATCCGATGAAAATGGATTTTATATTGCCGATGTTCAAGCGAAATTTTTGAATTAAAATTAAACCTTTTATGAATTTCTCAAATTTCATAAATTTCATAAATTTGAGAAATTATTAACATTAAATTTCTTAAGAAAATACTCTAAACAAAGCGAAAATTATTTTTTACAATTGGAGAATGGCGAGGAAAGAAACGTTCTAAAAGATTTTATGGTTGAATTTATTTAGCAACGATTGGTTTTACTAGGCGATTCTTCTTCTTCACAGCTCTCATCATTACTGGTTAGGCTGACTCCTCTGGTTACAAGGGTAAGACGCTTCCAAGTGCCACGGTCATGATGCCATCGTCGACAGTAACTGAGCTCATTTTTTTTTCCATCATCTCCATATATTGCTGGTCCATCTTTGTGTTTTGTGCTTTTTTGACCGTATCAGTCCAGGTCTTGATTGGCTTACCTCATTTTTGATGCCACTCATTGCAGGGTTTAGTAAGTAACGAAATATGCGTCAACTCTTGTGCTGGGGTGATGAAGAAAGTATCCTAACTAGCGAAGGCGTTATTCTTATATGGTACCGTCAATGCAAGTAGCATTTAAACGAAGGTGTATGCGATCATGTGAGTTTTTATCCATTCTGCGAACCCGCAAAATGTACCTAAGACATGAGTGGTCACAGGTTGATAGTTTCTTAATATTCTCCACTCTCATTGTTTTGCATCCATATAGCAAGGTCGAATCGCGGCTATATAGATGCAGACTTTCGTTTTTATGGTGATTTCACGACGACTCCATAAAGATTTCGTCAATCGGAAGAATGATTCCTAATTGCCATTCTCTGGGTTGTAATTTCGTCTTTCACCAAATCTTCGGTATTAGAGTGAATCCAACGTTATTAGACGATAATTATTGATATATTTATATAAATAACTAAAATTATTATTATCTATAAATATTAGTGTGAAATCTATCGAAAAAATATTTTCAGATAAAGCAATTTTAAGCGATTAATTTCAGCAATGTGATGTTTCTTCGATTTTTCGTTTATCTTATTATCGTTTATTGTTCATCTTTTCCTTTATATATTAACTAATAATAATAAAATTTCTAAAATCTTTAATAAAAATTGATCGAAATAATTATAAAAATTTTATATAAACATATATATAACAACACATTCTTGCTTAAATTATTAGTTCTTAATTACACCAAATCAGTTTTCAGTAATGATTTTTTCTAAAATCGTTAATTAAATTACTATTAATAATTCAATATTAAAATTAAATTAATATTAATCAGTTATTTCCAATCATTTCTCATTCAATTGTTTTCGAAAAGGCAAAAGAAAAGATTTTTCAAATCGTTTCAATCGTTTATTTTGAATTAATTTTGAATTTCAGATATTAATCATTCGCTTTATAAATAAAATAAAATATGCGGTGATAAAAAGGAAGTTAAAAGTAAATATGCTGATTGCGAACTGTAGAAAAATATTTGAAATATTTTAGATATAAATATGAAATATAAATATTTTAGAGGCTAAAAGTGATATAGGTAAAGATTATTAAAAAAAGCAATTCATATGGCAATAATGAAGGATTTTTTCTTGGAAATCCACTAAATCCGTGATTTGTCCGAATCCAATGTCAATAATTTCGTAATAAATTTTCAGATAGCGTGCATGTCCAGTCGATGAATGCTATTGTTCACCGCATGCTTATCGCCGAAACGTGTCCTTTGCATGTCTCCAATTAGTGAATGTCCAAAACGTAAAGGTTAAAATTAGTATCGAAATGGGCGAAAATTCAATTTATTGAGGTAATTTAATCAAAGTTCATTCAAATCCAAATTTATCGTAATTTATTCGTAAAATCAAATTTTTAACTGTGTTAAATTTTCTTTTTAAAAAATGAAAAAATTAAGGAACAAAAGATTTAAAAAATTTCTTTCATATTTTAGGATGATTCATGCATAAAAATTTTATGAATTCAGTCTTTAAATTTCCCGTAGAATATTCTACTTGAATATTTTTCAAATATATGGAGTGGATATTTCTGATATTTGATATTCTGATATATCCGATAATTATCTTAATTATCATTAGTTGGGTCAAATCGTAAAAAAATACCCCTCTAAAAGAAAACTGCAATTTTGAAAAAAAAAAGAAACATTTAGATGTTGTCTGAGAAAAGGAAAATGAAATAAATAGTCGCTGTATAGGCTGCGAGGGAATATGCGAAAGAAGACCGAAAAAATGTGAACACAAATGTCATGGAAAAGGTTGCCTTTGCCCAATGGCATTGCCAATGAATTACGTCCGTGACAATTAAGGGAATTGTATTAAATTGGAAAACTGCAATAAACGATTTGTTTTTCGAAGTTTTTTTGATAAAAATATAGCAAAAAATGAAGAAATTTTAAATGATAACGGAGTTAAATTATCAAACACGGTGATTAAAATTTTAGCATTAATTTTTAATATTTATTATTTATAAATATTTTTGAAAATATTGGAATAATAATGTAAAAATAGAATGTAAAAATAAATAAAAATATAAAAATGCAAAACAACTGGTTTACTTCTAACGCGACTCATCAATCCATCTCACGATTGATTGGTTATGAGGAAACCAATTCCATTTTTGAATACCCTTCGACTTATTTCGAGTCAACCTGGCTGAGAGTTTCCGCAAACAAACCTTAATCACTCTTTAGATTCTTTTTATTTTATCGTTATCATTTTGTTGTTTTTAATTTTTAAAATGTTTGAATTTTTTCTCTAATTATCAAATGCTTATATTTTTTTACTTATTCTGAATATTTCTGCATTTTGAATCAACTATAGTGGATATATTCAACAAATTTTTCAATTAACAATCTATACAAATCATGAAAAAGAAAAATTAAGAAAGTATCATTTTGCCATTTTATTATGAGTTCTTAAAGATAAAGATAAGAAAACATTCATACCAAAACATTCGTATTTAAATGAAAACTATCCTAGACTAGCTGTCCGATAAATAGAAAAAAGGCAATAACAATAAGAAATATAAGAAATATTTCCTTAACAATAAAGTACCAGGTACTATTTCAATTTTTAAAATAGTTAAATTATTTATTAATATTATTCACAATATTCGCAAGTTGACTTGCAAAGCTATCAATTGTAAATTTAGAAAGAACTCGTTGATGACCAGCGTAACCCATTTCGTTACTATTTATAATTCCTTTAACCAAAAGAGCCATTTTATCTGCGAATGCTTTCGCATTTGATTCGACTAAAAACCCAGTTTCACCATTAATAATTGATTCCATTGGACCTCCAGAATTCACAGCAATAACACAACACTTCATATACATCGCTTCAATTGGTACAATGCCAAAATGTTCGTTTTCAGGAGTATATAATACTGCGCTAGCTCGTTTTAACAATTCCACTTTCACCTCATCGGCTGAAAATAATTCATCAGTTAAAATTAAAAAATTAGGAGATAGTGTAAAAAAAACAACAATGATGTACATTTATTTTTCTTCATTGAATCAACTTAATTTTTTTATAAAATTTTTTAATTAATCCTTATTTTAACAATTGAGAGAAAATATTGAATTACAAAAACATTTAACATAAGATAACGAAAGGTAACCCAAGTGGTGTACCCAACTATACTTATATCGCCCAAATGACAAAAATATCTTGCGATATTGACAACCAGTGGTGCGAGCCTAGCCAGGGATAGAAAGCACAAACCGCTTTATAATTATAAAAATATATGCATAAACGAACTTTTCAAACAAATTCATGCAAATAAATTAGATGATTTATTGTCAGCATTCCATTTAATATCGATTTTTTAAAATTTTTATAATGGTTAAATCTAATTTTTTCTTCATTAATTTTTGAAACCAATTTAAACCAATTCAAATTTAAATAAAAAATTCACGTGAATTTTAAAAACAAAATCACTTAACAGCAATGTCAAATTCACTTTGTAGATGGTCCTTCCACTCCATAAATTATCCATATATGAACACATAGTTTTTTAGCAACGAAAAAAATGCTGAATACCTCACCAGGTGAACGCAGAAACATAATTTGCTTTGTAGATATTTGCAATTCAACTCCATATTCTTTCAACTCGCGATGATACAGCAAATTTTCCTCATTTTCCCTATCAAATCCGCCAGCAATGACCAAAAAACATTGGCTATATAGTTTTTCATCAATCAACTTCTTTAATTCAGCTGAAAAATCCATCTCTATAAAAATCTGTATTCTTATAACAAGATGTGAATATTTTGGTTTAAACAAATTAATGACTACAAATTTAGTCAATCCCAAGTTTTAATTCTCCGTGATTTGCAAACTATTATATCCTACCAAACGCTTCCAGTGCAAGCCCGATATTTTTCTTTCTTTCATAGCGATTAATTGAAACAAACAAATATTTAATTTGTTCAGGTAACCCATCAATAATAATCGACGGCGAATCATCGAAAAATTTGGTATTTAATGAAGGATATAATACGTGCAATGTTCGATTGTTAAGCGTTGGAAACGTCTTTAATACAACATTTTTCGTAAAAATACTGTTCACGCAAATTACATCAGCTAAAGTTATTGTCCATGCCTGTAACTTTTACGAACGTAACGATTCACGTATAAGATAAAAAAATAATTTTTGCAGTAATAATTCCAATAAATAATAATACTGGAAACTAAAATTTCAAAGAAAAACCTTGAAAAAAAATTACAAAATGTAAAATTTGGGCAGACCTCAGTATGATCAATGAAACACCGATATATCGTTTTAAAAATATTGCGCCGTTCCGTTAGCAACTGATCCGGAAAATGACAATAAAAAAGAAGCTTCGCCTTACACAAACCAAAAAGGCGAAATAAGCGAAAAACCAAAAGACAGACAGATATCTGAAATACGCAAAATATGCTTTTATTTTTAAAACTGTATGATATCTTATTCTTCAGTACAACTTGCTAAAAACAAAAATGGCTACCCTAAACAAAAATAATTTATATCTTTGTAAATGACAAATATCAACTCTTATGTCAAACCGAAGTCTCTAAATTTTCTGATTCATATCGAAATTACCCATTAAAAATAAAATATTAACGAATATCAACAAAGTTTACAGCATTATTTTGAAAAATATTGCCTAAAATTAAATTATAATTTATGGACAAAATATAAAGACCATTATATTAAATATATATATATATAAATTATATAAAAATTCACCGATTAGAGGGAACAAGCAAAAAAAACCACATTTTTATGAGACTATACCAACCATTCTATGCCAACACATTAATTACACATTACGATTAATTGTTAAAACAATTGGTTAACTGACTGAACTAATTCTAACCGAATCGCAAAAGATTATATCTTGTTCCATTGAAATGCAAACGTAGAAAGCGGCAATACACATGCGAATATAAGCACAAAATGCGACTGCATATCCACCAAATGACTGAGGAAAAATATCAAAAGTCCGAATCGCTAAAAGAAAACAGTGATTAACTAAAATGAGCAAAGTAGCCAAATTTCCTTGAAGAATAATAAGAAAACCTGGCAAGCATCTATCCAGATCGAAGTAGGCTAAAAATATTACCACACACAATCAATATCTCACTTAAAAGCCAGGAAATGACCTGACCTAGTGTTTGCTAAAAAATAATAAGCCATAATTATTCTTATCTGGTGTCGCCGAATGGAGAAGAAAGCTGTAAATATGAGCAGGTCATCCGCATCGCACCTGCTAAGCCCAGCAAATTAATGAAATAAGAAAAAAAAGAATTGGAGAAGATATTAAAAAATATCATGGAATAGTAGAGTACCTCATAAGTGAGAGGTATGATATACCATTTAAGAGAATTAAAAACCATAAATCTTTTCGCCCACCTCAAATTAAATATAACCTCCCAAAATATCATTTTTGGCCATTTTAGGCTTCTGTTGAGTGGGGGGAGATTGGTAAACTGGGTATTTTTTCATGTTCGGTTCTATGTAATATATTATTTTTCTTTGTAATAGGATAACGATTTCATTTTGTTTTCTTTATATATAAATTTATATTTGTGTCGTTAATAAAAAAGGTTAATTACCTAAGTTTGAGGGTTCGAACGTTCGAGATAATCATTAAGAGAATGCTGGCCGTAGAATTTATGGTACTGTTGACAAAATGAAAGTTCCACGTTGCAGGGAATTTGTTAAATCCATACACAAAAAACACAGTGGAGCGGATTCCCGAAGGAATTTTGTAAAGCTAGATATTGGAAGTGGGAATCGCCGTGCTTTCAAAAATTCGTTTTGCTAAGTTTTCTATACATAATTTATATATTAAATTTGACGTATAATGATCAAGTGACAAGTGAATCTAAAAATCAAACGAAGAGAACTACAATAAAAAGGAAAAATTTGGCTATATAATTTCTATTTTTTTAATGATGAATGAAAGGGTAGTGATATCATTAAGATACCACTCACTATGAAGGTATTATTAGCGCTACATAAGCACTTATATTATCTATCGATCGATATACCAGAATCATCTGTAAGGCCAGTAAAAAAAATACGAATTTGAAATAATTTGTGAATAAAACTAACAAAACTGTTTGGATTCTTCGAAGCAGTGATCTTCACGATAATGATTCGTAACAATTTCCACTTCATGTCCATTAATTTTCATAGCAATTGCTGCATCTAAAATAAGGCGTTCTGCACCGCCAATACCCAAATTCGGATGAATAAATGTTACCTTCATTTGCCTAAAAAAAATAAATGATTTTATATAGTTGCTGCATTGCAACAATGATTTGTCCGATACAAAAGTCCGATACAAAAGAGAGTCAGAATTTAAGCTATTCAAGTTAGTTAAAATCAAATTATTCTTCAACCGTCAGAATATTTCACGCTGATTTCAAGAAAATATTCAATAAAAAATATTTTCAATTCTTAAAATATTACTGCTAATAATATTGATAACGGTATTAATAATACTAATAATATTAATGATAATATTAATATTAATCATAATAAAATATTGATAGTGATAACAATATTAAGATGACAAAATATTAATAATAAATAATAAAACATAAAAAATAACAAACCTTTTTGAAGGTGTCTCGTTTTTTGAACCAAACGACGCTGCGGCCGGAAATATCGCGGCCCAACACCATTAACTCCTGTCAACGCAGTATAATATAGAGGTGTAAGGTGCAGTTTTTCTTGATTTGAAGGATAATCTTTCAGCGCTGAAATAACAGAAAAACAACATTAACACCGAAGCTTATAACCGTAATGCGCTAATATTACCAATACAGACAATGACAAAGAAAAGGAACGAGTAGATAATGCCACGAGGGGTCACGCGCACACGAAGGCTTATGACAGCGAGGAAAGCGATGTGTCACGATTACGAGGGGTCACGCGCACGAACAGTAATGGTAATGAGGGAAGCGCCGTGTCACGATTACGAGGGGTCGCGCGCACGAAAGCTTATGATAGTAAGGAATCATGTCGTATTTTCATTAGCACTCGTTCATATTATCGTTTTTTTTTTCTAAAAGCACTGCTTGCTAGGCTCGCTTGGCCGGCATATCAGATCAGACTTTCTACTAGAGAGTAGTGACTTATTAATAATATAAATTAAATCGCCATAAGAAGCTGGATTTTGCAAGGCCAACTCTTGCCGAAGAATAAAACAGAATCGGCGCTGCAATCCGAGCAACGACCCACTCCATCCTTCCACTCTCCGTTTTGTTTTCGCTATTCGGCGGCATTGTCGTCCGAAACGAACCATTCATGCACGAACCATTCCTTTGATTCTCGGTGGCGGTTATCATTGCTACCGCCGTCGCCGACTAAATTTAATCGCTTAAAAAACTTTTTGAAATTATCAAAAAAATTTAAATGCTTTCTATAAGCGATTTTCCTATTGTTCTTTGCTCGTTTATTCTTTTTAGTGCGTATGTTTGCGAGCAATAACGCGGCCGGCCACATTAATATGCGGCACCGAGTGCTATATCGCGAAATATTTGCGCGGTAATATGATTTTGAATTGATAACAAAAATTGTGGGCAAAAAAGAAGAAAGTCTGTTCGACGTTATTGCTGCGATTTTATTGTGAGATTTGGCTTCGAATCGTCATAGCGGCAGCAATTTGCCTTTTGGCCAAATATTTCGCCGCAACTTGGTTTCGAATCGTCATAGCGGCAGTAATTTGCTTTTTGGCCAAATATTTCGCCGCAATTTGGCTTCGAATCTGGCATTTCGTCATAGCGGCAGCAATTTGCCTTTTGGCCAAATATTTCGCCGCAACTTGGCTTTTCAAATCTGGCATTTCGTCATAGCGACAATACTTTGTCTTTTAATCTCTTACTTCATCTATCATTTGACCTGTTTAATTAATTAATTAATTACAAAATGTTTTAGCGTTTATATTTTAAATTTCTTTATTGACGAATAAATTTATTTATTTATTTTTATTTGAAATGCCAGAAAATTTATTTATCACTTTTAGAAGAAAATATATAATAAAAATTATCTAAAATTTCACTTACTGTTTTTGGGAAATTTGCTAATAATTTTCAGAAAAAAAAATTTCTTCCAAATTTTTGCTTCTATTTTTTTAAAAATCACCGTCCTTACTGGTTAGACTCGCTCCGCTGGCTCGTCGCACTCGACAAATGTGATACGGGGTCCCTATGCGCCCACAGTAAACATTCTTGTAGATTTTTACCGTTGTCTTTATCCCTTACGACTGTTTCGCGCTGTTTGTCACCAGAAAATAGTAACGATTGAAGCATCGCCTATTTGATTAATTTTTTGCCTATAAAATTTTATTACGAATTTTTTGCTGTACTTATGAATACTTAATTTATGAAAAGTTTGCAGAACAAAATTTGTTTAATTTATTTTTTTAAAACGATTTAGTCGCTGATGCCATAAGTTTTTAAATTTTTCTATTTTTTTATCTATTTATATTTTTAGATTCATATTTTATTTATATTTTTTCTATTTATATTTTTGTATTATTTTTAGAAAAATTTTTATTAATAGTGAATTTATTAGAGAAATATTTTGTTTTTCAGGTTTAAACTGAACAAATTCCAATGGCATCAGATCCATCTTCAAATGAATGGATTGAAGTTTCTTCCAAGAAGCAGTCATCTGCGAAAATTACTCGTAAATTGCCACCTGTTGAAAGATCATCAAAAAATTATGCAGCAGCAATGCAAACTTATCAAAAATCGAGTGATAGTCGAGTTGCAAAACAGTTTGGATCCACTTTAAAACAATCGTAAAATATTTAAAATTATTTTTAATCTTCTAGGCCACTAAAATTCCTACCTTGTTTGAAGTAATCTGCACACTATAACTGTCGAGTTTAATATGTTATTACGAAATATTTGAGTACTATATGATTTAATTGAAGTGATTTGCAAAATTTCTAGAGCTACGGCCACGGCCTCGCAGAAGTATAATTCATTAGTGCAAGGAAAATTCACTGTGGTAACCAACATATTCCCAGTAACCATAAAGCAGGATCAATACATTTATCGATATAATGTAAAAATGTCAATAACATTTTCTTGCATTGATAAGGATGGTAATTGCAAGAAAAAAATTGTAGATTTATATAAAAGGAAAAAGTTCGTTTTTTTATTTTTTAACTTTTACTTCATTTTTTTATTTTTATTATGAATTTATTATGAATTTTTAGAATGGATTTTTAATGCAATTAATGATGAAAAAATTTAGTGATAATAATAATAATGATAATAATGATGCATCAAAAGGTTACTCGAATGATGGATTTCTCATTTTTTCTACTGTATTTAAAAATTCAAAATTTATATCTATCAATATTTATATTTAGTATTGAGCAACAGAAGAAAAGAATTATTTTCCTGAAATCTGCGCTGAGTAATTTTAGAACAGAGAAAAAAATAATTTATGCATATGATTCAGTCAGCATTCTTTATACAAATGCGGAATTAGATTCAGAGGTAAGGTTTTTTTTTAAAAATTTCTCAAGTTTTAAATCTATTTGGATTTGTTGTCAAATCCAGTTTATTCAGCTCGCAAATAATGAATCTTTTTCTTTTATTGCGATTTTTTGGAATATATTCGATATATTAAATATATATTTATATGTATTCAATTTTTATCTATAATTTGCTATCTATAATTTTTATCTATAATTTTATCTATAATTTTTATAATTTTATTAAGTTCTGTTGAAAATTTTTTATAAGAAAAATATTTTCTGTATAATCTAAAAAAGCAATTTGTTTAAGTTGCGTCTAGTTGAACTGACTTCAAAAGATCTCGCTGACGAGTTTCGATATTTAATTGATAACAATGCGTTGGTTCGTATTGAAATTAGCGAGTATGAAAATGAAACCAAAGGCTTTTGTTTATCAAATTCTTTATCATTATTGAAAGAAAATTCGTTAGTGCGAGACTCTTCACTGCAGCAGTTCCTTGATATAGTGACTAGTGAACAAGCGATACGATCGTAAGTTATTCAGTGCCTGCATTTTTATAAAAGTTTATTATGCGTTTTTTTTTTTTAAGTCCACCATTACTGGCCAAACTCGCTCCTGACTTGTCGCATTGGACAATATGCCAGGGAGTCCCTTGGCGATGGAAATACAGGTGAGTCGACCGGATTTTTGTACAGGTTTATTCCTGCCGTGAATCGAACTTCATCTGCGCTTCGAACTGAGCAACAACCCACTGAGCAGTTCTGTCCTCAGTTTTATTTATTTATCATGTGTATAATTATGTGTGTAAAGAAACTTCTATTTTCCGGCAAAACCTGCAATTCTCTGAAAATTTCTATCATCCTTTGTTTTAACCTTTGAAATCCTTTCGCATATATTTATTATGTGCTGTGGTCCCTTTCATTCTTTTTTTTTTGAAGTGCTCCCTTGCACTTAATCCTTTCCTTTATCATTTATGAAAAGTTATTAATCTAAACAATAACTACATTTACATTAATTTACTCCTCGCCACATTAATTTCAACGTCAGATTTTCATAAGGTAATTGCAGGTCATTGTGCCGTTTTGCTAAAAGGTTTTGAAATCCAGTTTTGCTGCCCAATATTATTTGAAACCTATCACTTTTTGTACAAATCTTTCCAAATCTTGATAGATGCTCTCTCGTAACCTCAGCAACCTTCCCATAGTTCATCATTAATGCTTATATTTTTTTCGGCATTTTCAGGTTCTCTGCCATTTTTAATGCTTTAGCAGAATCCTTTATCAGTTTTCTTTGTGGCCCTCGTCAAACCTCAGTTTTGCCTTAATCGGTTTTGCCTTAATATATTATGAAACTGCATTATTAATGATTATATTTTGAGGGAAAATAAAGGGGTATGGCAGGGCTTCAATATAGTTTTGATCCTTAAGGTGTATCTTCATTAGATTATATTACAAGTTTTTTAGATAATTGATTAAAAATCCAGCAAATTTGTATTGAATAAAATGGTTTGATCAGTTACAACTACAACCACATTGTTTGGATTTTAGGATGACATTTTTAAATATTGGTCGCGGTCTTTTGTTTATTCGAGATGGTGAGAAGTATAATCTCGGAGAAGACGCTCTTGGTAACTCAAAAACATTAAAACATGGCGCAGATAAAAGCACTCAAATAATATCCGGATTAAATATATCGCCGGCTTTAACCGTGGACTGTAGGTTTCTCTTAATATTTGGTGTTTTCATTCAATTAAATTTCATATAATTTTATCATTCGATATTAAAGAATTTAACGATAAAATAATAGTCGATGCTATGAAAATACAAATAAATATTTTATTTAAATATTTTAGCAAAAAGGTTTACATTTTTTGCTGCGAAGCCATTGCTGGAAATAGCGAAAGAGATCGACAAAAGGGTAATTGAGCATGAAATGGATCGTTTGCAGTTCAAAAAATTTGTAGTTAAATTTAGCGAAATCATTTGTGGTACCTTTTCGTTTGATTTTATGAATAAGAATAATAGATATTTTAATTTTTATAAGCATAAAATTTAATTATTATTTAAAGATTAGTACACACTGTATTACTGAAGTTCCATGTTGTTTATATTTCAGGCTTACGTGTGAAACTAAAAGATTCTTCATCAACTTTTATAATTTCATCTTTGTCAGATGTTCCTGCGAGAGATATAAAGTACTTTATTCCTTTTTTTGTTTAAGCATTTGCCTAATTTTTTTTTTAATTTACTTCTTTTTTCTTAGGAATAGCAGAAATTATTGTTTTTCTTTGAGATATTTCTACTTGCTTTTATAAAAAATATATATATATATATATATAAGAATATAAAAAAAATCGCATCTTTCGTTTATTGAATATTATCTTAAAGGATAAAAACGTCGCCAGATGAAATATATTTTACAAATTTTTGCAAAGAACTTTATAATATTACTATCAGGTTTTTTAATGATTGTATCTTCTTTTCTTCATTTTCCTTTTTTGGGATTTAATGTTCTTGAAATTCCGTCATTTCATTTTTGAATGCAAATTTTATTACAATTTAAATCCTTTGAATTTTATAGCAGCTGTATTCAATTTTATTTTAAGAAGTGATTTGCCAGCTGTAAATGTGAGCCGCAAAAAAGATCCGTTCTTTTTTCCGCTAGAATTGTTAAGTGTTGTCGAAGGTCAACGCATACCTTCGCATAAACTAAGCCCATCTGAAATTAGACAACGTGTCCAAGTAATTTTATCATGAAATTTTTTTGATGCCACTTTTTTCTATTTCTTATTCTTTTAAAATTTCGTCTATTTTATTAGAAATGCAATTTAAAATAATTTGAAATAAATGATTGGTGATTTGATTCGAAGTGCCTAATTGAAAGGAAGTTAGATTTGATATAATCGTATCTATTTTTTTTTAGATGAGCTCGATTTTGCCGAAAGAACGTTTTTTAAAAATCAGCCAGAATATGAAAGCTTTAAATATATATGCTGAAAGTGAAAAAATAAAAGCGGCTAATTTATTTTTAAAAGCATTTGGAGTAACGGTCGAAAAAAACCCACTTAAAATACGTTTTAATTTGAGATTTCATTTATACCAATCACTTGATTTATTTTTGAAATTTATTGATAGAAGAATTTGTATAAAATAGATATAATAAATAGATATAAATAGATATATAATGTTATTATATTATATAATATATTTATAAGAGTAAGTAATATAATTAAAGTAAATAAACAGTAAAAAATGGTTAATAATTGATCAATTTATATAATTATATAATTATTGTTTCATGAAAAGAAATTTTATGTAATCAAAATCCTTTAAGAATAAAAATTTAAAGATAAATCTTATTTTCATGAAAAAAAAATTTTTATATGTCTCAAAAATTTTGAATGGTATTGAAATGATATATAATGGATTTAAACGCACAATTATTTTTTAGGTTGAAGCAATTCAGATCATATCCCCTCAACTCATTTTCAAAAAAAATCAGTTTTCCGAAGTTGTAAGCATAAAAGAAGTGGGATTTTCATTTCTTTGAAACATGAAAATTGCTAAAAATTTGAAATGTTTTATCAATTTAAAGCAAATTTTATATGCTAGTATTAAGTGATATTAAGTGATAATTTTAATATAAATAGGACAAATGCGCAGATGAATTAAAATTATGCATATTTAGATCTCTTTTCGTTTCATCAATTTTAAATCATCATTGTTAAGGCTAAATGGAATTCTCGACAGTATCGTTATGTTATTCCAGCATCAATTGATAAATTGTATATTGCTTATGATAAAAGAGAAAATGGCGAAATCGTGAAGTAAGATTCGCTTTATTGAGTCGTAAGAATCGTTTTCTTAGTTATTCTTTAACATATTTATTAAAATTTTGAAATGTGAAATGTTCTGGCCTATTATAATACATATTGTAATATATAAACCATGGAACGACTTTTTTTTTTAATGAACCGTCACCATTTCTGATTAAACATTCTCTGCTGGTTTATCGTACTGGACAAATATACCAGGGACGCGATAGAAGCGTAGGAGTCGCCAATATCACTCGATTTTTGAACAGATTTATTCCTGCTGGGATCTCAACATCGAGTTCAGCATTGAATTAAGCAACAAGCCACTGAGCCATTCTACCCAAACCATGGAACGATTAGTCAGATATTATTCGCATCAAAAATTGAAAACTCGCGTCGAATATTAATTTATTATCTATTATTATTATTATTATTACTATTATTATCTAATTATTATGATCTAACTTAGGGCAAAATAATTCGGTGGATTACGTTCCAAGTTTCGGTGCACGAATGCCACTTTATTTTCGTCAAAATTTTATCTATGTTTTAAAGAGGATGATATAGGTAATCCACCTAATATTTCAATCACCAAGCGAATCCCTTAAAATTAAAATTTTAAATAGTGTTTCACCAGAAATCATCCTTAGAAAAAAAAATCAAAAAATTATAGCAAACTGTTTTTGAAGAAAGTTTTCTGGTCTTTTCATTGGATTAGCAGCGGAAAAAGGTATGAGAATCGGTCATTGTTCATTGGCGCAAGTATCTGATTTAGAAAAATTTATTTGTTCATTAGAAAAGGATTTTGAAAAACGAAATATTTTTATTATTTACATCGATTCAAACGGAGAGGGGCATCGTAAGTTTTACATCCAATTTGTTTTTTTTTCAAATCAATTTCAATTGTTAAATGCATAATATAATTTAATGGTGAAATAAAAAATATCATTAATAATCGTTTAATCGACCTATGATGTAAATTTTTCTAGAAATTTTGAAAATGCTTGAAGCTATGCATCAAATAGTTACTCAACATGTGCTCGCCAAAAATCTTCCAAAATGCATTCAAAATAAGCATATGCTAGAAAATATCGTAAACAAAGCCAATATAAAGAATTTTGGTCAAAATTATCTTGTTGCTGCGCATCAATTATGGTAAAGTTTACTATTTAAAGTGAAAAGATCCAAATTTTGTCGCTGATTTCATGTGATTGTAGTTTTTAGGCGTGACAAGTGGATTTCTAAAGGTAATACATTGGTTATTGGATATGATGTTTGTCATCCAAGTGCAAAAATGTCATGTAAATATACTGATGATAGGAATATTTCTTCCAAATCACGCGAAGAATATATCGAAGAACCAAGTGTATTTGGAGTATATTTTTCCATTCTTTTAATATTAAAATTAGAATTTTTTAGCCAAAATTTTTCGCAAGCCACCATTTCATTTTTGGTTTTTTTTTATTTTCGTAATTGAATATATTGGCCGAGTTTCGAATTCGGTCTATTTAATTCAATCGATTTCAAAAGATTTTGCTCATTTTTCTTCATTTCTTTAACAATTTTAAAATTTTTGGTAGATCTCTTTTAATGGCGCAAATAGTCCTGAAACATTCATCGGTGATTATGCTTATCAGAATCCACGGCAAGAGGAGATAACCAGTTCAATTTTGATCACACGTGCTACTTGGATTATGCGGCTTTTTCACACGAGTCGAAAACAGTTGCCTAATATAATAATTATCACTCGCGATGGAGTCTCTGAGGGCCAATATTCTATGGTAATTATTTGCTTTTTTAATTTTATGAACAAATTAGTCGTTTTGTTTTTGTTTTTTTCTTCAATTATTTCTTTTAACACTATTTCTGATTTGTATGGCTTCATTAAGTGTGAAACATTTAAATCTCCAATAGAATTCAGCATTTAGTGATAAATTTGCTTTCTTCAAGGAGCAAAAATAAAATCCATTCAATGTACACCTAGCTAGCTCAACCGCCAGTTTTTCTTCCTCAACTCAGTTTTTTTTTATTATGCATTGAAAATATACAGGTTTTGCAAGATGAACTGCAAGCGATTCGCGCTGGTGTTCATAATTACGCGAGAGAGGCTGGATACAGGGAATATGCTCCAAAATTCGTGCTCATTATAGTTGCTAAGCGCCATAATAAACGATTCTTTCTTGAGACGAGTATTTTAATTACTTGTGATCAAATTGTTATATTTATTTGGTTGCACATGAGAGTTTTAAATTTCCTTTTTTAATTTAGATGAGGGCTACGTTAATACTCCTCCTGGCACAGTCATTGATCATACTATCACTCGTCCTGATGTTGTGGAATTTTTTATGCAGTCACACGATGTTTTGATGGTTGTTGTTTCCATCTGCTTTTTTAGCATTAAATTTTTAACTTACAGATTTTAATATGGAAAAAGGAAGTTTAAAGGAAAAAATAAATAGTAATAGTATAGGTCAAAAAATTACAAGAAAAATATTAAACGAGAATTTTTTGTGCTTTGAGATTAAAAATTAATATTTGAAATTTTTCAATTGCTAAAATATTTTATCAATAGGAATTGTTTTACAGTAAGAAGAAAATAATGTTGTTTAATTTGGAGGGTACTGGAAAAATACCAAATTACATAATATTATTAAACGAACCGAAATTTGCTAAGGAAGAGTTACGATCAGTATTACATTCATTGTGTTTTAATCATCAAATAGTGAATTCTGCTATATCATTACCAGAACCGATTTATCAAGCGGATGAATGGGCGAAACGTGGTCGCGACAATTTGCAAACAGCCTGGTAAAATTTTTATTATTTTTAAATTGGCTCATCATTATCTTTGCAGAATAAATAACCTTTTTAATTCTTTCTATTTAGTCGTTGGTATGGTAGCAGTTTTCTTGAACTAAACGAAGATGGAAAAGTTGATTGGGACCTTATTACCACTAAATTATGCTATATGAATCGTCGACTTCAGTTTACTCGTAGCAATGCATAAGGTTGTTGCATTTGCATAATTCCATATGAATTAAGTAAGATTTGTTGTGAAAAAAAATTTTTGTGGAAATAATTGAAATTAATTTTCTCAGTTGAGTGAAGTGTTGTGTGATGATTATTGCTATCTATTTTCTTTTTTGATTTTTTATTTATTCGTCGAATTATGCGAAAATAAATTCTCACCTATTTTTCTGTTGTTTTTTATTTTTGTTTTTTGTTGTTTTTCACTGTGGGAAAATATTTCTCTGATTTTTCTTGTGCTGTTTTTTATCCAGTTGTCCAGTATTTGAATAGTTATCCAACTTTATATGCCTTTCTTTTATGCAGCATTATTTTTTGTCTAGTGTTATGTTCATTTTAGTCTAGTGTTGTCCAGTATTTGTCATTTTCGTGAATGAAATTTTTGTGATATTTATTATCGAATAATTTGAATAATTTTAGTGATATTAATGAAACATTACCTTTGACTTAAGCATCATAAATACAATCAGAAAAAGAGGAATAAAAAATTTATTTTTTATGAAATTGACGTATAACATCTTTAAAAAATATATTATGATTTAGAAAGAAACGAATCGTTGGAAAAATGAATGATTAATTAAAATCTTTCCAATAGCTTCATGCGAAAGGTTACACGTTAATGATAATTCTTTGTTACAGTGTTTAGCTGTACTTATAAATTTGGCGCAAAGCATTACGAGCACTCCAAATGCTCAAATCATCTTAATGAGTGATATGATAAATAAGCGGATAGTCAAGTTTTTCCGTGGCAATCATTTCTTAATGTTTCTTTCACTTTTTGTTTTTGTATAACAAATCATTAGTACTATCATTTTATCAATGATTTAACCATCTATTAAATAAGTTCTTAAGAAGAACTCATTCAAAGTTCGAAAATCACAATAGTTTATTGAAATATAAGATGGCTATGATTATTTTCGATAACACAAGAAAAGGAGAAAATTATTTTTCAAATTCGATTTAATCAAATTTAAAACAAAATAACTTGAATTTTTACTGCAAATTTAATTGCAAGAAATTTTAAACGTTGCACATATTTATTAAATTCGATAACTACTGCAAAAAAAATAAGTAAATCTTTTAAACCATAAAAATTCGGCAGAAGGCGCTGTTTTTTGCAAAAATGAGAAGTAGTAGCAAAAAATAAACAGTATATTCGGCAGAAGGCGCTGTTTTTTGCAAAAATGAGAAGTAGTAGCAAAAAATAAACAGTATAAAATGTTGCAAACATGACGAGAGCAAAAAATATATTGTCATATGAAGAGTGTCATAGAAGTTGTCGTAAAAATTAGATTCAAAAAATCAAAAAATTTTGACAGGCGGTTAGACTGAATCATGACTATAAATATAAAGATTATGATGAGCGCACATGAAGCTGGCGACAAAAATTTATTAAAATTAAAATTTTTTGCATACAGTTCAGTTTTTAATTTGCCAATTCGATTTTCAGATATCAATTGCAAGCGGTTAATATATATCTATTTGGTGGACGATGTATTGCGAACATTCGCCATCCAAAATTTGTTTAATATATATCTATTTGGTGGACGATGTATTGCGAACATTCGCCATCCAAAATTTGTTGCAGTATTAAGCTAAGGCTTCGAATTAGAGATCTTTTCAGGCAATTTGCATTTGCAAACCGTCAAATAGAAAAGTTTTTTATGAATGTTCTAGAATATTAAAATATTAAAATATAAAAGAGATACGGAAAAATATGGGCCCTTCCATAATCGTTACAATGTAATAATCTAAAAAATCCGTAAAAACTATTGTCCTATATCTAAGTATATTCCAAGAATGCATTGATTGTCGATAGCGGTAGATTTGAGTTCCCAGTATCACTCGAATTTTTCCAACAAATTTATCCCAACGAGGAATGGAACCTGCGTAAGCAAGCTACAATCTCAGCAACAACCACAAGCCATTCGATGCCCACTTCAACGTTTGAAAATTGCATTAACAATTCTATTTTAGTTACGATTAAATATGATGAAGCAATGGTTTCGATTATAGATACAATAGCTTTCACGAATGATTAGTGCCTCGCTGACTAGTTACATTCAATATTTCAAGAAAACCAATGAGAATGGAAGTAGATGTGAATGGCCTGAGTCACTCGAATTTTTCAACAAGTTTATCTCAAGTTTATTTACGAGAAATAGATCCTCAGCATATTCCATATTGCTCCAAAAATAGCAATACTAAGCCGTTCGACGATCGAGGAAATTATTAAGGATAATGTGGTGGGCAACAACCGAGTTTATTTTGTGCCTTATATTTCCCAAAAACCTGTACAAAATCGAGTTTATGGCTAAATAAAAAGGAAACGAGGCTTCTTTTGAGCATAATAGAAGAAAAATTGCCATTGGTCAGTTGTCGCTATTATGTCGCTTTTTTCGCTCTTTTGTCGCTCTATTTTAACGACGGATTGATTGTGCCTTGTCCCTTCATCTGATAACGTTTCTTGA